CTTACTTCTGTTCCTTAAAGGAAAGTAAAGCAGGAGCCAGGATATGGCTAAAGGCTTGATGACCAAGGGGGCTGAATTTGAGTCCTGGTAGGGTCGAGAATTTTCTCTTCTGCATGTTGTCCAGACTGGCCCTGGGGTCCACCCAACCTCATATCCAATGGGTAGAAGGGACTCTTAGCCTGGGGTTAAAGCGGCCGGGGCGTGAAGCTCATCACTCACCTCCAGTTAGTGCTGATGTTAAGAAAATATGGCTCTATACATCCACTCCCCCATATGCCTTCATAGTGTAGTTCTTAATTGGTTAAGCACAGGGACAACACCTGAAGGAAAGGAAAGTAGACCTGTGACCATTTGCTCACAAGTTCGCCATGTTAGTCAATCAGTTAAATGAAATTTATGTTGATTGTTGCTTAAATATATCATTCACAGCACAGGATTTGTAAGCCTGGAAATCTATGCAGCTGGAAAGTAGGCCATATAATTTTCTTCTAGAGCTCTGTTGCTTTGTCTCTGATGTATCTTCATTTTTCTAGGAAGGTGTAGACCCCAAAGAGCTCGACAGGCTGACAAAGTCATTTGGCTTTCCTGTTGGTGCAGCCACTCTGGCAGATGAAGTTGGCATTGATGTTGCAGCTCATATTGCTCAAGACTTAAGCAAAGTGTTTGGTCCCAGGTTTGGGGGGGGCAATATAAATCTCCTGAAAGATATGGTCGAGGCAGGATTTCTTGGTAAGCATAAGTTGTTAAAATTATGAGCAGAAATGGGAGCTGTGAATGGCCATGTATTTTACCAAGTGGTGTATTTTCTTTTTTCATCAAATGGAATTTCAGTGGGATTTGGGATTTTGATTTAAATTTATTCTATAATGACTAATATTCATGTAGAAATTGTGGTTCATTCATTGTATGACTTCTGTTTATGTGTACTTGTGAAACATGCAGGGAGGACTTGCAGTTGTAATGCACTTGAAATCTCACATCTCAGGATGAGAACATTTGAAGAAAATTTTTGATTTCTAATGACAGACACTTCAAACTAAGGCATCAACCTAAAGTTTTCTTACCAATATGCTTGATCTAGTTTGTGTTCTTGGAGAGTTTCACAGTGAGCAATGTGAGTTCACTCTGTTTCTTGTTTTGTGGCATATATATTCTTTAGATTGAAGATGCCAGTTCAGTTCAGTTCAGTTCAGATGTTTGGCCAAGCTTTCTTGTACAATTTGAAGTTTAATGGCTGCTACAGGAGTGGTTGTTGATATGTCAGAAATATATTTTGACATGATTACATATCCCATTGTGAGGCAGTGGCTGGATAAACACATTTCTGCAGAAACTGATACACATGCAACAGTGGAGGAGTTGTTGGAAGCAGTGTTTTTCATGTAGTTGGTGCCAAGACTATATAGCGAGAGCCAGCGAGCTATGGCTTGGAAGTCGACATTTGGAGCAATTTGTTAGGTATGAGACAGTCACCAGCCTTTAAGGATGTGAACACGGAAGCTGAGGAATCTACATTGTTGAGAGCCATAACCTAACAATGTCTAATGAAGGCAAACTTAGAAGATTTAGTATGTGTTGCAGTGATTTGAAGAGTGTGTGAATTAATGAGTGTTATAATCAGTTGTAGTTATGAGTTATAAGAGTCCAGTAAATCCAGTTACCAATCCAAACATCCATGTCTAGTCACTAAAATAACATTTTTGGCTGCTTATTACCTTGCAGGTTGAGGCCTTATTACTGAACGTTTCTTCACCACAATCCCTTGGTGTACGGGAATTCCCGGAAGTACTACTGAGACAGTAATCTCCTGACTTCAGAGCTGTTCTAATTATATGATTGTTATTAAATTTATAATAATCCATCCCTTGAAGTTAAAATTGTCTTTTATGTAATATGTTCACAGCTTCATTGAATTGCTGTGATCTACAGATAAATTATTGGAGTCAGGTATATATTTATTCTGTTTCTCCATTATAGAGTGTAAAGTTAAGTGCAAGAGAGATGGAGAATGATAACAGGTAATCTTGTGTCGCTGCTTCAGCATTGGAAAATAGATTTTATATTGAGCTATTTCTATAAGCATGTGAATATTAGGAACCGGGATAGCATAGTTGGTATGGCGACTGGCTATGTGTTGGACGACCAAGGGGTCAGAGTTCAAGTTGCGATAGGGTCAAGAATTTTTTCTTCTCCATGTTGTCCAGACTGGCTCTGAGGTCAGCCCAACATCCTATCCAGTGGGTACCAGGGGCTCTTCCCTGGGGTTAAAGCGTGAAGCTGACCACTCGCCTCCAACTAGTACCGATGTCAGGAAAATGTGGATCTATACATCCATTCCCCCATACACCTTCATAGCATAGTGCTTAATTCATTAAGCACAGGGTCAGCTTTACTTATGTGAATATTAAGTAGGAAACTTCACTTGCTGACAGATGTTCTGAAGGGACTGAAGCAGTAGTTAATTCTGTTATATAATTGAAATATATTTTTGCATATAGTTGTATTTTATTCATTGTGTGTTGCTTATAATCACCCATTTTAAAACTTTACTGTAATTATATTTCAGCAAAATACTAGGGGTTTTCAGAAGGTGAAGATAACTGAATCTTAAGACACTTAGAGAAAGGACTTGGTTAATCTATATAAAAAACAAAATTGAATGCTCAGAGGCCATTAAACAAAGTTGTACAAAGGGCTGGTTTTAATAGCAGTCTTCTCACGTGTGCAAGAGAATGCCAATTTATGTTTTACAGGACGCAAGTCATCCAAAGGTTGCTTTTTGTATGAAAGTGCCAGCAAGAACCGTGATGTGAACCCTGGAACATTGGATATCTTATCAAAATACAAGTTGGAACCCAAAGGTTCAAAATCTGTGGAAGACTTGCAGCTCCGTATGGTGTCACGTTTTGTCAATGAAGCAATCTTATGCCTCCAGGAGGGTATTTTAGATAATCCAGTGAGTACTTCAGTAATCATTTACCAGGCAGAAATGTCAGTCTCTTCCAATATACACAATATATTTTTATGTAAAACAGCCGAAGTCTTACGCCTCAGTGCTAGNTGCACTCTCTTGCCATTTTATGAAATTTATTTCATTAAGAATGGCATTCTGGAATTTCTTCCTAATGCAAGGCAAAAGATCAGACCAACTGAAAGTGTTGCAGTATGATATGGGTCAGTTGTACCACTTCTCTCTTGAAGGGAGGAACTTTATGGCATTAAAGTAAATTAATAGATCCATAAAGTCTTAGAATTTGCATCTAAGTTAAACTTTAACCTTTAAGTGCCGAAGTGCCCAGTTTGTGCCAGTGGTGAGTAAGGTCGTCGTGGCCAAAGTACCCAGTTTTGGCCACTCGGGCATTTAAACTCCGCTAGGGGAAGCGCGCGCACACGCCGCTAGTAGAAGCGCATGCACAGTCCTAAATATTTATTTTTAAATGTAGTAATTACCAGACCGACTTGAGTAAAATCCTAATAAAGTAATTAAAATGATACCTAAATGAACAACAACAAAAAGAGTATACGTATGAGTTACGCCGATTCTCATCCACGAGTCAGTAATTTTATTGCAGATTCTGCAGATAAATATGTACAAATATATAGTAAAATTCGATGTACATACCTTTTTGTTGTTATCTGCTTGATGTATATATAGGCTCCACCCCCTGCATCATCTAACTAAACCTCGGCTTTGTATGATATTCTTTGAAGCACCCGAGAATGCACAGGCCCACGTCACATTTCTCGCACTTTGTCTGTATTCTTCTCCTTTTCCCACGTGCAGAACAGACGCGGCAGTTCAGTCTCTTGTCTGAATGGTTTGGCCAGTGTTGTCGACTGGCCTCCTCTAGGCGATATATTGTAGATGAAAGAGCAGGAGGTCGACCTAAGGGCCCCTGGGGGCGAGGGCGACACGTTGCGGCATGCTCCAGCATGTTGCGCACAAGGGTTAGACGAAAGTCTCTATGTGATATTTTCGCACCACAGGATGACAGCACAATGAAACTGTTCAGAATCGTCAGATCTAGTAAATGGAAGAATAGTTTCTTCGTCCATTTCCAAGTCCGACGGCTGATGGAATAACTGTTTGTCATCCTGTCCGCTTTGTCAACATATCCCATGTGCATGTTGTAATCCGCAACAATTGCAGGCTTTATCGCATTTCTGTGTTCATCACAGAAATTGCCTTCTGCTGGAGGAGCGTGCATATTAGTCAACATATATACATCTCGTTTGTCTTTCCAAACTAATACTGTCATGTC